CCATACGGCAAATTCCCATTTTCACTTTTACTATCCCTTTGAAAGAGGGAGGCTTGGGTGAAGCCCAGATTAAGCGCTATGTCCCAGTAGTTGCTAAAGTCCATAAAAGAGGTAGTGTACAGTATATGACTGTATGTGACTGTATGACTATTGCTTCAGCTATCCTTGCCCCTTCCACGTCTTATCTGTTACTCTAAATGTATTTAATGATCCCAGAATCATCCCTAGCTCATGTCCTTCCTTTCTGACAGTAAGTGCTTCACCTTCTAAGGCAAAAGAGATACCTGAGCTCATGACAGAACTACAGAACCTTCAGATTAGATTAGTCACAAATATTTCCACCACACATACCAGCCACTAGGTAGTTGCACTCAATCTTTTTTATTTTAATTTTTTATTTACAGTTGACATTCTCAACTTAATTGTTGCTAGCACAGGAAAGAACAAATGCTACATCCACAGTTGTGACACTAGGCTGTACACTGGAAAAACATCTCGGTGAGAATTCTAGTCTTTCAGCCTCATGATGAAATCTCTTTAGGTCTATTATATTTATTTTCTTAATTCTTCTAATTATCTGGCTCCCTTTACCCAGAAATCCATATTGTGATCTAATGTGCAAAAACGTTTTGTTTGAGAATGACAGTCATTTCTGGGCCCAAGATGGGTTCCTGTTTCTCAGTTTGACATGCTGTAGTACAATATACACATGTATAGGGGAGCATCCTCCAGCCAGGACTTCTCCTTTTATGGTCCCCTTGCTAGACACCTTCTGGCAAAGAAGTCATTAAAAGGTCTTCTTGGTATATGATGTAGTTGAGGGGTGTTCTGAAGGCTGTCACTCAGCTCTGCCTTCCAATTGGGTGTGGCATAGGGGAAGTTGCTTGTCTTTAGTTCGGAATGTTATATTCTCCATCTGCCCTTTTGGCATAACAGAAATTTAGTTGAGCCATGACAAAGAAAATATGTTAGAAATCAGGTCATACTACTCCTATCATCTGTCATCGAAATCTGACAGCTTTGTGAGACTCATACTTCAAGATCCTGTGGCTGGGAATTCCAGTAGAGCAAAGCCAGATATGTCCTTGGTAGTAGTTGCTCCTGCTCTCTCTTCTATGCCCAGAATTTCTAGGACCCCTGGGGGAGTCAGTGACTACTAATAGCAAATATATAACTTGTAGCCAAGAAAGGGAAGGGTAAATCTTCAGAGGGAGATGTTGTCTATTTCGAAACAGTTGCTTTTGTCTCTTCCCTTGACTTACAAAAATAGGCTCTTTAATATTAGAAGTGCAAGAGAGACTCTAAGGAAACACTGTAACGTTGCTAGAACCTGCTAAAGCAATGATTGGGAATCAGTCAAC